AAACGAGGAAGCTTTTCTGAATTCTTTCTGGTTTACTTCTTTTTCAAATAGAAATTTTAATAGAGAAATTTTTTTGTGTCACTGAGACATTTGTGTTTTGCAGTGGTGTTCAAAGGCTCAGTCATGGTGAAGCTCCACTGTGCTAACTGCTGTACAGATCGTACAAAGCATGGGGAAAAAGTCACCACATCAGAGAAACATGGAGCTTCTGTGATGCAAAAATTGTGTGTTATTGTTTATATATAGCCATCCATATATATGACAGGAGAAAGCTTTGTTGTGTAGAAATCTTTGCAGGATCTAGTCTTAAGCAAAAATGAGGCTCAATAGGAAAGCAGAAATATCATAACGAATATTCTTTGAGTAGAATCAATAAGAACAAAATCCCCTCTCAGTCACTATTTCTTCTAATGTAAATTAAATGACCTTAATAAGTGGAAATCTGTACAAGTGTGGGTTTTTTTTTCTTAGAATTGTAGCAAACTATGTTTTTATAGAAACCCAAATGTTTTGAATCTTCTTAACGTTTGATTTTTCAAACAAACAGTGGAAGAACAAAAGGGGAGGTGATTTATGTATCTTGGTGAGTAATGTCTTGTAGGCAATTGCTTATGCTGCATTGGGGGGCCAAGGTGCAGCATTCACACTGAGAGCATGTTTGAGCTGTGCACTCAGGAGAGCTGCCTGCTAAACGATGTGACAAGAGGAGTCTCCAGCCCATCTGTCACCCATGCAGAAGTAAACGATCACATGGTACCGACTCCAAAGTAGAGGGAAAATCTGCTGCTACAGCCAACATTCCTTGCCATAATACAAATATGTTCTCTGCTCACATAATAGCTATTCAGTTTGCCTACAGTCATTGTGTTCCCCCATTAAAGTTCAAAGGAACTGAAAATACACAGCTGACAAAGCCAACTTTTGTCTTGGAGTGAATACGTATTTTATTACAAGGTGTTTTATCAGTGAGATGTTTTAGAAAATAAACAGGTCTGTGAAAAAGATCATGTGGTCATCCACATTTGAGCTTAAAGATTTCTGGGTGAGTAGCACTGATTTTTTAGTTTTATTTTCTTTTTAAATTTTCTTTCAATCTCTTTACATTTGACTTTTACTAATTCTGTGGTGTAAGTCCTTTTCTTAAGGGCAGCTTGGGTTTCCAGATTTGAGGTTGGATGTTTCCTAACTCGAGATAATTTATTTTTTTTTTTTAAAAAAAGGCAAGCCAGCCCCCCCCCCCCAAAAACCCAAACAAAACCACAATAAAAACCACAGCAAAAAAAAACCTTCAGAACAACCCCACCCCCAAAAAGGCTCTGTTGACTCTTCAGGCTTTGCTGAAAATATAGTCTTCAAGAATGAGAGAGGAAGTACTCAAGATTTACAGAGCTTGTACTAACTAAATGCTTTGAATCTGATTACGTTGTCTATTTGGAAGTATCTTAATGCCTTTTATTCTGCTGCACATACATGTACAATTACTTATTTTCTGTAGGTCTTCTTAAAGGCCTCCCACATGGAGAATGCATGGAAGTGAGCTCTCTGTCTCAGTTAATAGCAAGTTGATGCCTCCAAACTTGCAAGCAGTAAGGATCAAGAAAGACTTGGTCTTTAGGAACATAATTTCATCTGTTTCTTGTCTGGATCTTTCTTTGTTACTTCAGGTGCCTGAAGGTACTGGCAAAACAATTTCCCCATGCAAACAACAGCTAGAAAGGCAACCGGAGTATTTAACCTGTGGTCACGGGGGCCAGACTCTGTTTAAGAAGCTGGCCAGACTGGCTAGCTTCTACCCAAGAGCTTTAGAAATGCTTGATGAGCCAAGTTGTGGGGTTGATTATTTTTAAAATACTCTTGGAACACAGGAAGACTCCTGGAGACATGAAAAACACTAGTGCTTTTTAAGCTAAAGCTAATGCCTTCTAATTAAGGATAAATTAAATGACCTGGTGCTATTATATTAATAGTAAGCATGGTCTGCTCAAATTCAATGAAGACATGGAAAAGTTTTACTCTCTTGGATGAAATTGATGAAGAAGAGTTTCATAAAAAAATGAGGGTAGTAAGAGGAGAAGATGGGAACAGCTGAAATAATTTAAGTTGCAGCCAGCACAGGTGACTTTTGAAAGGTGAGAGGGAAAACTAGTGTAGTTAAAGCACTGTGAAGGGAGCTGTAGGCAAAAAGATTTTCACACCAGAAAAAAAAAGGCAAAAATGAGCTTGTGTTAGCAGAGCAAAATATCACAAATTATAGCAGGTTAAATAGGAAATCATTAGGAGATGAGAATAGAAATCCCTTAAAAACAGCTTTCTGCTAGCATATCCTTAATAAAAGTATACAGTTTTTAGATGCTACAGAACTTGCTGAAGAGTCTGTGGGATTGTCTTCAGAGAAGAATTTCAGAAGAGCAAATTCAATTAGTTGAATCACCATTTGCCTTTAAAAGAACTGTTATTCTTTACAAGCATGGCTGGGAAGTGTTCACAGAAGAGATTTTAGGTATTACTGTGCTAATGTACAGAGTAATAAACTTCCGAAGCAGGTACCAGAACTGGGAATGCCTCTGTAAAGCTGACAGGCTATTGCTAATTGTGGGGTGTAATCTGTTGCTTTGTTTAACCTTGCTCTTGAGAGGAGAGGTGATGATGTGCAACACACTGTAGTATATGCTCTTAAAAAGGGTGTTGCTGAGAGTAGGTCCAGCAAAGGAGCAGCAATTGTAGAAGCAACTGGACTCTTAGAGGTGTAACCATTATACACTGCAGAAGAATTGACCTGGCTTTTAAAGAGGGAAGCCAATCCTCAGGCTAGAGGTATTTGAAGTTGTTGTTACACAGGTAATTGGAAAAATTGTCTTCTGTTGGAAAAGGCTGATCATAGAGGTTCTTGAGCTGGAAAGATGATGGAAGAAAGCACACCCCACTGTACAGGTTCCTGTTCTGTCACTGCACAACTACTACAAAGTAGGAAGTGTAAAAGAAGTGAAAAGTTTTCTTCATGCTGTGCTTAAATAAGCATCTTACTTACTGCCACAGGATATTGTGGAGATAAATATATGCCTTTCAGAAAGGATTAGTGAAATTCAAGTATCATAACTTCACTGAGTACAGTATTTTGTGCCTGAAAGTTTTATTAATAACTTTAGGAAGCAGGAAGGTTGTGCAAGAGTTAAGAGGAAATGATAAAGGTGTTGTTTTCTAAATCTCCACTGTTGACCAGTGTTGGAAGTGGTATTCTGGGCAAAGTAGGCTTCTGGTCTGGTTAAATAAGGAGTCACTTTTAAAGTCCTCTCTTATATTCCACAGAAAAATTGGTTAGCTTATGACAGCAGCCCTCTGTGGCCTTAAAATTAGGAACAAGACCACAGCACCATGTGCTTTGCTGTCTGTAGTAATAAATTAATAACTGTAGAACTATTGGTTTTCTTCTTGTAGTGTCTGCTGTTACTGGTTAAAACAGAGTGTCAAATGGAAATATTACTATTTTTTTTTTTACTTCCATACTTTTCAGGTTGGAAAACACTCAAGCTATTTTTAGGATTGTCCATTAAAGCAGCAGAACATAATTATGGTGGGTTACTATGTTCTGTATGTATGTAGAATCAATATAGCATGTAAAACAGTTTTTCAAGAGCTTAACTTCTAGTCATAAAAATGCTTTTTAAACTAACAGCTTTCTTCTGCTCAGTAGGATGTGATTTGTTGGAAGTATATATTGACCTGGAACCAACAAGGAGATGACTAAGTAGGAGCAAAATGGTTCTAACATGCCTCTGCTTTGCCAAGGAATATGGAAACAATAAGAGATTTGTCAAGTCTATGGGTCAGCCAGCCTTGTAGTGATAGATGATATTTCTCTACGCATGACATGTTTGGTGTATTGGGTTGTTATTTCCTAAAGCATCATTTAAGAGCTGAAATGTGAATCTTTCTTTGTCCCAGTTGCCATTTATCACCTTTCTGGGCATGCTGTTTATGGGTGGGATGTATCCAGAGTAGGTGGGAGATTTTGTCTTCTCTTCATCATGGCAAGCACATAATGTGGTCTGTCTTATTTATTTTATGGTGTAATTTGATAGCCAAGACTCATGGTTGACAGTTGCCAGAGCATTTTTGGTCTGTGCACTGAAGCTCTGCAGTAGTCCTCCCATTTCCCATCTTTGTCTTTCCCAAGCCATGACATCCTCCATGCTGCTTTTCCTTTTCATGCTGGGGTATGTTGCATCACTCATGTGCCAAGCAGTCGCTTCTTGAGGTTTCAGACTGTGCAAAGATGATTCCTGGTGTGCTTCTCTCCTTGGAAGAGAACCAACAGCTTGAAAAATTAGTATTCAGTTTAATAAGAAATTAAAACTTTAGATGCTGTTTTCTTCCTATTTAAGAGCAGAACTGTGTTTTTGGGGCTGGGGAGTAATAATTACACAAACTAAATCACAGGAACACCCTTTCTTCAGTGAAGAGGTCGTAGTTTGGGAATTAGTTTCACAGAGATGTGCTGGTGACCAGCTTCAAGCTCTGGCTGTTTCAGGAGTGGGGTTGAATCATTCAGAGACCTCTGTGTCTCCCTATTTTGACTTGTAAGAGTGACCTAATAAATATATTGTTGTGACAGATATGATCTCCTATCTTCTTACAGACCATATGTAGACTGATTACTGAGCCCTGGCTCTGTTGAGTGGAGAATTCAAAGTGTGGGACAAGGCTTTAAGGAGGAAGCAGTGATTTTTTAGAGAAGAGTGACGTTCACGGTGCTTTTTCCTGTGGATCTCAGGTTTTTCATGGGTACTGGGAGGTATGCTGCTGTCTCCTAGGATGCAGAGCTTATGGAGGAGGTATTGCATTAAACTTGTTTGGACTCGCTGCCTGCTGCTGGGGAGAGGAGGAAGGGAGGATGTGTGGGTCTGTGGCATGAGCCCTGCATCTCTCTTTCTACCTTCTGGGTTTCCCTGGTACACCCTCTCTGGGATCTGAGTGGTGGCAGTCTCTCTTGCATGAAGTTTCAAGATTACTTCCTGTTGCCATCTGCTCCTCTGGAGCAAAGCTCCTGCCTTGCTTAAAAGTGAATTAATAAAACCACAGAATGGTTTGGGTTGGAAGAGACCTTTAAAGGTCATCTAGTCTAACCCCTGCCATGGATAGGGACATTTTCCACTTGGTCAGGCTGCTCAAAGCCCCATCAAGCATGGCCTTGAACAGTTCTAGCAGTGGGGCATCCACAGGTTCTCTGGGCAACGCCATGGATAGGGACATTTTCCACTTGGTCAGGCTGCTCAAAGCCCCATCAAGCATGGCCTTGAACAGTTCTAGCAGTGGGGCATCCACAGGTTCTCTGGGCAACAAGCTCCAGTGTCTCACCACCCTCGTCGTAAACAATGTCATCTTTGCATTCCAGCTAAACCTGCCCTCTTTCAGTTTAAAGCGAGCTCCAGTGTCTCACCACCCTCAATGTCATCTTTGCATTCAATCTAAACCTGCCCTCTTTCAGTTTAAAGCCATTATCCTTTGTCCTGTCACTACAAAGTCTCTCTTTTTTACAGGCCTCCTTTAAGTATTGAAAGGCCACAATAAGGTCTCCCTGGAGCCTTCTCTTCTCCACACTGAACAACCCCAATTCTCTCAGCCTGTCCTCATAGGAGAGCTGCTCCAGCCCTCTGGTCTTTTTTGTGACCCTCCTCTGGACCCACTCCAACAGGTCCATGTCTTTCTTTTGCTGGGGGCCCCAGAGCTTTATGCAGTACTCCAGGTGGGGTCTTGTGAGAGCAGGGGGATGTTAATGTTAAGCAAATGTTAATATTTATTGTGTGAGTCATAAGTAGTTACTGTGAACAACAAAAAATGGTGGATTGACTTTTTGACAATGGGACTTTGTGCCAGATGAAAGGCTGTGTGGCTTTTTTTATGCTATTTACTTTTTCCTTTCTTTTAAGTTGAAACTAGAAGCTTGATTGTTCTTGGGCACTGCCAGTGTGAGGCAAGAGGTCTTTGGAGAACCTAATTCCTTGGGCTTCTCTCTACTGTATCACCCAAATAATACCACAGTCTATCTTTAAGCAGCATATGCTGTTTGTTTTTTATTGCTACTCCAAACATTTGTACTGGATTGCATTTCCACCTCTGCCTTCTTATGAAGGAATTCCAGCTGAACAATTCATGTCTCCCTTCCCTTGAGGTTGTTTTTCTAGATAGTGCATATTAGGCTCCTTGTAATTAATTAATTCTGCTTTTAGCATTAAGTAACCTGTACAAGGTTGTAAGTACATAAGTTTGAGTAGCATGTTCCTTTGTAGCTCATTTTACAGTCTTTGGCCTATTCTGCTTCAGAATGTTCATAAGCAGCACAAGTTGGCCCAAATACATGCTTCCTGTTAATTAAATCTCTTAAATAGAATCTAATTTTCTTCCTCCTCTGCAAGTTGGTGAGAGATTAGTAATAAAAGACAATTAGTTTGTTGATAGCATCATGTATTTGATCAGGGCAGAAACAGGATAACTGCCTCAGGTGTATGGTGAACTCTTCATTCCTATGTGAACATTCAACATATTAGAAGTTGACAACATCAGTTGAACATTTATCCTGACAAGATAATTTTATAGAACATCAGAATTGACAAACTGAAGGAACCACTGGAAAATGGTTCCTCATTAAAATACACATTTAAAAAAAGTCTTATTTCCTTCAGTGAATTTGCTCCTCTTAAAGTTGTGCTCTACAGCTGAAGGCAGGCTTGAAAGATTTGCAATTGCTACTGCTGGATGGAAGATTTTTGTTTGAGATAACTCTTTTAAAGCATAAAAAATAATTTGACTACTGCTAATAGAGAGTTTTGAGACTAAATGGTGAAGCGTCTGTTTCCTCTCCTGACCTCTTGATTCATGCAGCATGATTGTAGTGGGCAACAAGTGAGTAGAACAAAATTGTCTTTTTTTTAACCTCATAAGATGAAGAAAGAAAATGTTTTTGTGTGAAGGGTAATTGAGAGCATCCTGATAGAATAAAATGTTGAGTGTTGGTGAAAAGTAAGCCTGTTTCATTGTATCTGATAAAGTTGCTGTCCTAGTTTTGTTTTCATTTTTGTCTGCAGATGATTTCAAAGAGGTTTAACTTTCTCAGATTCATAAGATGCTTCTGACTTAGGTCTTGGTGTCTATCTCGTTCTTGTGTTTTGGCAAGAACTTGATGTCACCAGTTGTAGCTTCCAATATGCATGGGGGCCATCCAGAATAATTTCCATTTCCCACTGACGTATGTTCTTAGAAGAACTTTTCCAATCCAAATAACTGGCACTTATTATTTTTTAATTGCTTAGTGTGATACTTGCTTACATTTTCTGTCTTAATGTCTTTTCCTGTCTGTAAATGGAGAGTCCCAAAGGGCACGTGCGTGCAGTCACTGAATTCAGTTTAGATAGCTTGATGGATATTTTGGGAAAAGCAGATTGTGTGTATGAGCTGTTTGTCACAGATGGTGTCCCAAAAAGAAAAAAAGTTGTGCTAATACTGAAGGAAAATGAAATGAAAGTCAGTAAATGAAATAGAGAAAAAAAGATGGCCTTAGAGTTTAGCATAACTTTTTCCAGCAGCTTTGGGGAGAGCTGTCAGGATGGCACAGGTATGCTGGAGCTCAGCAAGGGTTCTCAAGCTGCATTATGTAGGCAACAAACAACAGGCAGGAGAAATTTCTCTGGACAGTTTTGCTCCTCTGCATATTACCAGTGTTTTAAGTCTTAACACCTTGTTTGTTTGTTTGTTTTTTGGTGAGCTTTTTGTGAAACCTGGTCATGTGAATAGGTGAGGATCTTAATTCCATATTGAAAAGTATATTGCTAGTCTCTGGGATTGTAGAGAAAAATCTTAGGAGATGAAATGGTTCTGAAGCTTTAAAAAAGGCAAGGTAGCAAAACATGGGCATTTTGCCCCTCGTTAACTTATGTGGGTCATTTAGAACTCTGGGTTTGACAGCATAATTCTAGTGAAAATAGCTGGACTCCCGTGCCCATATGGGAATGCAGATCTCAAGTCCTTCCCCTTCTGGCATACGTAAATGAGGAGGAGGTTTGTTTTTCACAAATAGGATTATTTGTGGGGAAGAAACAGGACTTGCTTTACACAGCAGATCCCTGAAAACCAAGCTGATGTGCTTTCTGGATGTTCATTTAGAGTGTGTTTAAGCTCTATCAAGGAGGGCTAAGCTGCATGGCAAACATCTTTGCACTGCTATAAATCCTAAACATCTATAAATCTTCAATCCATACCCTTCCAACTCTTAGCCTTCACTGGCCTATTACATTACTAAAGTCCACTCAGTAGCTTAAGACCCTGAATTAGTTTTTGTTAGCCCTTATAAAGCTTTTCTTCTGGGTTTGTTCTGCTGCCTTTCAGCTTGGAGCTGACCTAGTTTTATGAACCCTTTAACTCTTCTCCTTCCTTCCCTTGCCTTGTAGGACTCCTCAGTGGGCAGACCTCTCCGACCAACACCAAACTGGAAAAGCTGGACCCTCAGCAGGTGCTGCAGCTGTGCCTGAGATACCAAGATCACCTTCACCAGTGTGCAGAAGCCGTTGCCTTTGATCAGAACGCCCTCGTGAAGCGCATCAAGGAGGTACTGCCAGCAGCGTGCCCGCTTCGGCCGGGGAAGGGCCGGGGGCACCATCCTGTGGTATGGATGCTGGTGCTTGCTGGAGGTGGCTGGGGGGCACGTGCAGCAGTCCACGTCGAAGTAAACCCTGTAGAGAAACTTAGTGGGTGTGCACTTCAAGCAGAGTTCCCTGGCTTTCATTGGGATTACTGTTAAGAGTTGTGTTTATTGGTTATGCCCTGTGATTCCTGGCCATAAATGGTGCTGTTCCTCTGGCATGAAAAGTACTGCAAGTAACTGTTGAAGTAAAAGGTGACTGGAATTCTTAAAGGTAACATTCCTTATTTAGATCTACATAACATACACTTTATTATGCCTTAGGGTTATGCTGTAAGGGGAAAAAATGGCTATCTTAACATCTTCTGCGATTAGAGGAGGTAGTATTTCTTTCTTTCTTCAACAGAGTTGTAGAGGTAGAGTTGCTTTCAAAGCCCACAACATGCTGTCTCTTCTCTGATCTGTATGGCAAGAAGATCTTTGTGTTTCTCTTTTTACTACTAAGCCATCATTTGAAAAATCACTGATCTGCTTAAATATTCAATGAGACTTTTTGGGGAGAAAAGGAATTCCTGGGGTGAGCATCCAGATATTGTATCCTCTTTCTCATGTGTTATCTATTGATGCTGAATGTAGTAGGGTGGCTGACAGATTCTTATTTTTTTTTAAATCTTTTTTTCAAGTCAAGACAGACTGGCATGAGAGGAGATGCAGTTCCAGAGTGTTTTCTCACATTCTCCTAGATGTGTAGAGCAACTGGTGAATGCTGCATATGTCAAATGTCTATGAGACCAAATAGCTTTTGATGTCAAAAGAAAAGTTTTTGAACAGGTGGTTCATTTTTATTCATGCAATATAAACAATGACCTTGATTCGTTGTTGCTCTGTTGGCTTAGAGTTAAGAAAATCCCACATGACAAACTGGATAATAAATTAGATTCATGGGCTGTTTTGAGAAGCTGCTGTCATCATGAAGTTGTAAGTCCAAAATAACGTGGGAGCCATTAAAAAGGCCTTTTTACTTTGGTGTATCAAGATCTGAAGCCAGCTATTACACAAGATGTAAAGATATTTGCAGATGTTGGTGACTCAGATCACACAATCTCAGAAATGGGATTTAATTGGCAGCCTGTTGAGTGTGCTGCATTAATCCAAGGAGATTGTAATTCTTTTGGCTGTTAAAGTGTGAGAGGGAATACTGACATGATTTAAAGTCATGGTAGATGGCACCTATGCAATTTCCTTTAGTTGGACTTGCCTTCTATAGGGTAGGTGGCAGAGTTCCTTCCAAATTAGCTATGGTGGTTTTCTTCCAGTTCATAAGGTTTAAGATTTTTTTTTAAATGTAATATAAATAAAACTATGACATGAATATTGTCATACCTTCTTTATCACAGAATCCTCTCTGATAGAGCAAAGGACATACAAGCAACTTGAACTCAGGCAACTGACAAGTCACTTGGGTTGGTGGTTTTTCTTTTTGGTCACAATACTTAAGTAACTTCAGATGCTTTCAATCCCTCTGCCAGATCTGGTGGGTTTTTACTGTTTGTTTTCCTAATAATTTTAAAATGTTTTTCTTGCATTGGCTGTTCTGCGTGTGTGTTCTGGAGGAGCCGTGTGGGACCCACTCAGCTTAAATCATTCTTTCCAAATTGTTTGGGCTCTCCTTGGTGTGCTAAATCGAACCACTGTTGACACTTGTTGACAACAAGGGGTGAAGCTGAACTAGAGCTGGGTATGTCTCTTATTACAAGTGCAGACAAAAGAAATAACGTTTGGCTCTCCCCATTTGTCAGCAGTGATTTAGTTTTGCCATGTAGACAAAGCTTTGACCATTGGTAAAGAGTAAAAATGAAAGAGAAAATGAAGTGTATTGTGAAAAGCATGTGTGCATAAGCTGGACAGTAAATTCTTTTATCCTCAATTTAGTAGTCAGTATTTTCCTTTTCCTTTACTTAACACTGTAAGCATTGAAGTGTTTTTCTTGTGATAACAGACTTAGCAAGTGACTGATGCTTTTAACTTTCCGACATAACGTTGGTGAGCTTCAGTCTCTAATTTCCTACCATTTGTCTGAGGTAGGTTCACTTTTCAAACTCACTGACTCTACTCAGTGCAGTAGTAGCCCTACTGTAGAGTGTGCTAAAGTCATCCTGCCTGCTGCCAGGATTTTTTTTTTTCAGTCTTCCCTTGACAAAGTGTCCCAGGGCAAATATCTTTTGCTCGTTTTCTGTGTGGCCAGGAAAAAAAGTTCCCTGGTTTCTGGCAAAACTCAAAAGTACTGTTGTAAATTTATTGGTCCTCGATAACTCATAATTGACTGTGGTGGTTTGTAAATCAGCACACAGTCTGAATTAAAATGGTTCTTAACAGGAAAGAGAAAGCTGAGGGAAACAAAACCATTACGTGACAGTAGTTACTGCAGATCTAAGTAGGTCCATCTGTGCATTCCCTTGCTTTGGGGACCAGCACAGTCTAGCTTTGCTCTCCATCCTGCTTCTGGATCCCTATCTGCTCCTGAACATACAACCTGCATGGCTTCCAGTTGCTGTGACTGTTCTTTCTCAAGAACAGCTACATTTACCCAAGTGTTGTCTTGAAGGAGAAGAACTGAAGATGTGACTGAAGGTCATTGACTCAACTGCCTCTCTTCAGCAGTTGCATTTACTTGTACCTGAGCTGTTGGTTTTGGAAGGGTCTGATTTTTATGACAATAGGCTTTGTCTTCACTGCCAAAAAAAAAAGGATGTGCTTGTGTCCAAGGGAAAAATAACTACTATGTATTAAATATTATGCTTCATGGTAATTTTTGGCAGCTGACTTGCTCTCTGTTGCAATACTGCATTAACTTCAGGATCAGTGAAATATTTAGGATTCCTTTTAATTTTTCCTCCTTATCAGTTTGAAAAACAACAGAACAGCAATTTGGGATTTATGTGTGTGTTAATCCAGGGTTATGCATCTCACAAAATTTGACAGTTTTGAAGGAAAAAACCTGTGTCCAGCATTTTCTTGGCCACTTGTCTACCCTTTGGTATTTTGTAGGATGAACATTTTTAGCTTATTGAATGAATCACTCCATTATTGACTTCTAGGGGCATTCTGTGCAGATGGGTCTGGGAATGGGATCTAGACTGTCTACTGCTGTTATGTGGGACACGTGAGCTTGTTATATGTGTATGCTAGGAAAAAAGTGCATGTTTAAAACCTGGTAGATAACATGCTATAAAATGCTGAAGTATGAAAGGGTGGTTACAGCTAGTAAGAATCTAAACTTACCTGCACCTTGGAGATTTTGTCACAGAGTGTCTAATGGTGGGGACATAGTTGGCAGTGCATCTTACAGAGAATGTGATACTTCAGGCTGGAAATGGCATGGATGAACCCTGATTTGCTAAGCAGGGATAAAACAGTCTCAGTCTGCCTATTCTTGGGTGTTGTATGTATTAAAAATAATTAAAAAAAAAAAATCTTTAGTTTCTCTCAGTGCTGAGGTCAAAGGAGCTCAACAGCAGTGCTTTTCCTTTGTTTCTGTGGTGGATTTATGGTCCTGGCTGTAGACAGTAGGTCTTAACTTGCTGCATCCTACATCCATCTCTGCCACGACGTGCTGTAGATCTGTTTTTACTAGTTTCAAGTTTTGAGCAGCTCCAGCTGCTGTTGGGTTTGAGAGCTGCATGTGTTCTCTTCGCCAGGAGCGTCTGCCTCGGTTTTGTGATCTGTAAAATGAAGGGTTTCTGCCAAGATTAGTTTGAAAGCAAATGTTGACCAGCACTAAATACTATGTATGACTTGGGGGAAAGAAGGAAATGAAGCAGGGAGAGTGCTACTGTACATTAAGGCCTTATCAGTGGAGGGTGTCTGTTTTGGGTGTCAGGGAGAGAGTTTGGAGGGTCATCTGATAGGGGATGGTGAATAACAGGGAATGGGAAACAAGTAGAATAGGTAAGTGCTAGGGAATAGAGCTAAATTTTCAGAAAGAGCCTGTGATTTTGTGTGCCTCCAAAACTGTATCGTTTCAGAGCCTTTAAGAAAAGATTATTTTTCATGCACAACTTACTAAGCTTCTCAAAAATCACATCTTTCAAAATATCTGAAGCTAAGTCTCCAAAAATTACTAGTCACCCTTGAAAATTTAGGCCTAGTTCCTTCACATGAAAGCAAAAAGGAAGCTGAAAGCCATCTAAGCTCATTTCAAAGCAGCTTTGAATAAAAAGATCTTCAGCATTTCCTATTAGACATCCAGTACTGGCAAAGGGGATGTGCCACTCAAAGTATCCTTAAGTACCCTTAAAGGCAAATGTAGTTCTTGGATAAACTGTGCTTAAAATGTATTTGAAAGTGGGTTATTGGGATGGCTCTTATGCTTTGCCCTGAAAACAAATATCAGTGCAGTATTATCTGGACATTTTATGTCCACAGGAATCCCAGACTAGCAATAATTTTGAAAACAGAACACTTTTTACAATACAAAATGAAGTTAAAAGTATCTCAGTCTAAGCTGGTGCACACCTATGGGGAAGCATCCTCCACATTTTTAAATATAATAAACATTACTTTTGTATTTTTAACTGTTCCTAAGGGTTAAACAGGTTTTGTTCTGGCAGGCATTAATGGTAGTAATTGGTAATCCCATATAGCAAATTGCAATGTATGGCTTGTTTCATACCTGCACACTCCTCGATGGGGATAGCTTATTATTTTGAACAAATGTTCCAGAATAAGATGTGTATGGGTTTTTTAAAATTTTGGTTTGTGATGTCTAGAAATACATCCTTAAATCTTTGGCAAGCAGATAACTTTTGAAGCCACACTTACACCACGTCGTGTCTCCCAATGTATTACAGCTGTTTAAAATTATGGGTAGGAGTTAAATAATTATTTTCTAAAAGCAACAAGTCTAGTGCATTTGACAGGCTAACATGAAAAGCACTTTGATACACAAACATTATATACAAGCACAT